CTTGAGAGTATAGTAAAATCTATCCATTAAGTAGTTATGAAGAGAATATAAATATAAGAGAAGAGAGAGCTTAAGAAAACATACTCTAACGAAACAATCGTGGAAATGCATTCTGAGAATAGGAGCAGCAAGAGTTGGAGCAATAGACATAATATTTGCAGTTTCTTTTTTCACGATTGCCTCAGCTGATGGACAAGTTTTCTTGTAGAAGCCAAGTTTCAATCCTTGAGCATTACATGTGTTGAATATTCCAACCAAAACAAGAAATACAAGAATTTGCTTACTGAAAGCCATTGGAATTAATTGATATCTTAAACTTATAAATGTTTCTTGGGTTCTTGTTTTGTTGGTGTGTAATGAGGATCTTGCATGTGTATATATACTAAAATAATCTGGGACGAGGGTGGCTTCAACAGAATTAGTAATGTTAATAGTTGTCAAATTGAGCAAGTGACCAATTATAATTGTCAAGTTGATGATATTCTTAGTTGGTTGACATTGTACGTGTAATGTATTTAATAGTTGCAACCGTTCTATATTTTATCTCTTCTCACTTAATGTGATCGAATGAGAACAACCTTTTAGACAATTGAATATATAGATGGTGATTTTGGTATAGTTTGATTTTTTGCATAGTAGTTGTTCTTCAAAAATGAGTTTTGAGGTTTTACGAAAATTATGTGCTAAACAACTTCAATTTTAGAGTTTACGGAAATCGAAATATTGAATGATCTAAGGTTGAATTTTGAGGGAAGGTTAAGTCTTATAAATAATCAATTAAACTTGTTTGGATAAATTCATTTATTTACAATGAAATCTAAATTCTCTTAGCTTTAATTATGAACTAGTTTTTATGTTATTTATATATTATAGCTTGATACCAATTCAATTGATAAATCTTGTTATAGAAGTTAAATTAAATAATTTAGTTTAATTTGATACTTTTTTTTAGTACAATAATTTTTGGTTCGTTTTGTATTTTTGAATTGGTATGATTAATTAAAACCTAAGTTCAAAATAATCCATGAACAAATAGACCGTCTATTAAGTAATTTATAAATAAATGATTTCCAACTACTAGATTAATAATAAATAACAAAAACTTGACCATAATATAACTTGACCTTCATGTTACCCTTGAAGTTGGTGTGTGCAATGGAATCTCATCATCTGATTCAATGGAATCTTTAAATTTCTTTTTTTTGGGTCAATAATATAAAAACAGGTTGATAATAATAAAAAAAAAAAAAAAGGCATCGATTTAATTCGTTCAGCGTTACATACATGTAGCACACGCCATGTTTTTGTTAAGAGTAGTAATCAAGCAATGTATCGAAGGCAGTACTAATATTAATTAATCTACCATTATTTTTCATGTTCCATTTTGATTAGTAATTGAGATGTGATTAACACAAACCATTACCTGTCAACTACTCACGCTGCGGTCTAAACTATGGCACTATGCTATAACTAATGAATTGTACACCATTAAAAAATGAATATTCTTCTTATTTAAATTGTGGTAAATTTAGAGGAATCTTCTATATTATTTAGAATATTCTCAATTTTGTACCCATTTTATCTCATTCGAACTCCACATTTTGAAGCAAGATGATCACAAGATGTGTTTTTTGGCTTGTATATATCAGACTGTGGTGCATCTGAAACTGTATTTTTGCACAAAACGAGTACAAACTAGAGAACATTCCATGGAATCTAGATGATTATGTTGAATTTGACACCATGGGGATGGAGGTCTAAGAAAATTCATAGTTGAGGGGGCAAATATAATTATCCAAACAAGAAGGGATTTTTCATAATTTGATCATATCTCAGGGATGGTTGTAATTTACCCATAAAATTATTCAAATCTTGTTATAGATGATTAAGTATACATGGTGATTTAACTACAAGAAAAAAGGCTTAACTCTTATGAGATATATATATATATATATTATACGTATCTATCATTATTATTTTTCACCCTTCTAGTTACCTTGTGTAATACGTTAGGGTTTCCTACATGTACCTATATATATAATTAATATACGTGAGAGACACTATTCTCTCCTTTCTCAAAATATATTTCTCCTATATGGTATCAGACACTAGGTTAACCTAGCCGTTACCACCCCTTCTTCTCCATAGCCATCGCCCCCTTTCTTCTCCATGGCCGGCGACGCTTCTTCTCCATCCACCGCCCCTCTCAATCCTTTTCACCTTGCTCATGCCATCTCTAATATCAAATCTCTCATCCCCGTTACTCTAGATCTGAAAAATCTCAATTATCAAAAGTGGAGCCATTGTTTCACAATTACGGTCGGTCGTTTCTGCCTCTCCGACCTTCTACATGGAAAACCCCGACCGGATTCGATTTCCGCCGATGAATGGCAGCGCGCCGATTATCTCCTCCAATCTTGGATCTACGGCACCATCTCCGACGATCTGTCCAGCATGATTCTCTCAAAAACCTCCACCGCCAGTGATCTATGGACCGCCATCTCTTCTCTCTTCACCGATAACAAAGATTATCGAGCCATCCAACTTGAAGAAAAATTCAAGTCCCTCAAGAAAGGCACTCTCTCCATTCACGATTATTGCCAAATAATCAAAACCACGGCGGACAACTTGGCCGATGTCGGAAACCCAATCTCCGACAAACAACTTGTCCTACAAACCCTACACGGTCTTCCGAAAAATTACGGGACCGTCGCCAACCTCATCTCCTTTCAGAATCCCCTTCCCACCTTTCTACATACTCGATCGCTTCTTCAGATGGAAGAAACAAGAATTGCTGAACCGGAGCAGACCGCTGCTGTTTTCTACGCCTCCAATGTGAACTATCCATCCACCAGTTGCAACGGTTCCTGCAACAGTTCCTGCGGAGGTAGTTCTTCGCGCTATCAGCGCGGGGGTGGCCGATCCAACTATCGCGGAGGTCGCAACACTAACCGTCACCCCATGCAGCACTACGGCTACCATAGTGCTCACGGCGCATCTCACCTCTGGCGCGCACCTTACCGACAACCGTCAATTCTGGGATCCACTCCAAATACATCGGGCCACCCATCCAGTCCAGCGGCTCAAGCCTACTTTATTGGACCACCTGCACCCTACACCGGCCACTCGGCTCCTACTGAGGTTCATCCGCACCAGCAACTATACCACAGCTCTAACAGTGCCATCAACAGTTGCAACAGTTCCTGCAACAGTGTCAACGTGGTGGATCTCGCAAACCGTTTGACTACGGTGACACTTCAGCAGCCTACCGAGTCATAGTGGTTCATGGACAGCGGGGCGACCTCTCATATGGCACCACACTGAGGTAATTTCAATTTTGTTTTTAATCCTAGCTGTAATTTCCCCAAACATGTCATCGTCGGTAATGGTTCCACCCTTCCCATAACCCACATAGGCCACACAATTCTTCCCACCACTCCTTTCCGCCTCACAAATGTCTATGTCACACCCAATATCGTCAAACACCTTATCTCTGTTCGAAAGTTCACCCGCGATAACTCATGTTCGGTTGAATTTGACCCGTTTGGTTTTTTTGAGAAGGATCTTCGGAGTCGAGTAGAGATTTTCAGGTGCAATAGCTCCGGTGACCTATATCCATTTCGTGTCCCTCCCCCCACCTCACCTCCCGCTGCTTTCCTCACTGTCGCAACACCTTCGTCTCGCACTCTTTGGCATCGACGTCTAGGCCATCCCGGCAAACACGTCATGTCTTGTTTATTTTCTAACACTTTTCTTTCGCATAATAAAGACCCTAGGGAGTCTCTTTGTAATGCCTGTCAACTAGGCAAACATTTTCGTCTACCATTTTTCTCTCACAAATCTACTACTGTTGCTCCATTTCAAATTATTCATGCTAATTTATGGACTTCTCATGTTTCTAGTCTTACGGGTTTCAAATATTATCTTGTGTTAGTTGATGATTTTACCCATTATTTATGGACTTTTCCTCTTCGAAATAAATTTGACGTTTTTACCACCTTTGTCAATTTTCATACACTTCTCAAAACTCAATTCCAACATCCCCTGAAAGCCTTACAAAGTGATAATGGTCGTGAATTAAAAAATGCGGATTTTCAAAACTACTTCATTAAACACGGCATCCTAAATCGTTTTTCGTGTCCCCGCACCTCCCCTCAAAACGGACACGCAGAACGAATGATCCGCACTATAACTAACATGATTCGATCCCTCATCTTTCAAGCCCATCTTCCTCCTACTTATAGGGTCGAAGCCCTTCATATGGCCACACACCTACTCAATATCTTACCTACCAAAACCACCCAAAACCGGACTCCTCACGAAGCTCTTTACCTCATCAAACCTACATACTCTCATCTTCGAGTATTCGGCTGTCTCTGTTATCCCAACCTCACCGCCACCACACCACATAAACTTTCCCCCCGTTCTACTCATTGTGTCTATCTCGACCACCATTCCTCTCACAAAGGCTATCGTTGCCTTGATAGATCCACTGGTCGAATCATAATTTCTCGTCATGTTACCTTCGACGAAACTCACTTTCCTTTTGCTGAGTAACCTCCCCCCAAAAACACACTTTCTACCTCTGCCTTGGACGAAAACACACCCTCCATGTTCCTCCTCCCTCAGACTTCGTCTAACTGTTGCAACAGTTCCTCCAACTGTTCCAACAGTGAACCACCATGTTCCAACAGTTCGTCCAACAGTCCTATAACACAGCCAACACCTGTTTCACCTGCAGCACCACCTCTCGACCACGACCAGCTCACAACCCCTTCTCCTACTTCCACTTCTCCTTCTCCTACCCCCACACCTTCCCAACCTCCCCCTGCTCACCCTATGGTGACTCGCAGTAAAGTGGGCATCCACAAACCCAAAGTCCATTTCTCTCTCGTTGCGTCCTCTACCTCTTCCATTCCCACCAACTATCGCCAAGCTCTTCTTGACCAAAATTGGCGAAACGCCATGATTGAGGAATATACTGCTTTAATTAAAAACAATACTTGGAATGTTGTGCCCCGCCCCCCGTTCACTAATGTTATTTCTGGTAAGTGGATATACAAACAGAAACTCAAGTCTGATGGCTCCCTTGAGCGATACAAAGCTCGGTGGGTTGTTCGTGGGTTTCACTAGCAGGCTGGCATCGATTTGGACGAGACTTTTAGCCCAGTTGTCAAACCAGACACTGTTCGAACAGTTCTCAGTATTGCTCTCTCGCGATCATGGCCAATCCACCAGCTTGATGTGAAAAATGCCTTCTTACATGGCAATCTCTCTGAAACTGTCTACTGCGAGCAACCTCCCGGATTGGTCGATCCATCTCGCCCCACTAACGTGTGTCGTCTCAACAAAGCACTCTACGGTCTCAAGCAGGCACCACGTGCTTTGTACAAGCGTTTTACATCTCAAATTACTACCATGGGGTTCAGAGAATGCAAGTCCGACACTTCACTCTCTGTGTACTGTCGCAACAATTCACGCGACTGTCGCAACAGTTCACGTGACTGTCGCAACAGTTCAGGCGCCTACCTTCTGCTTTATGTTGATGACATTGTACTTACGGCCTCTACACCTGAATTGCTTTGTTCTATCATCGTTGCCCTCAATCAAGAGTTCGCAATGAAGGACCTTGGCGATCTTCACTACTTTCTCGGCATCTTAATTACTCGCTCGTCGAATGGGCTATTTCTTTCTCAACGCAAGTACGCCGACGAGATACTAGAGCGTGCACACATGGCTTCCTGCAACCCTTGTCTTACGCCGGCTGACACAAAGAGCAAGTTGTCTTCGACCACTGGACCCCCCGTTGCAGACCCTACTCTTTATCGCAGCCTTGCCGGTGCACTGCAATACCTCACGTTTACTCGTCCCGACATCTGCTATGCTGTGCAACAAATATGTCTATTCATGCATGATCCGAGGGAACCTCATATGGCTGCTCTCAAGCGTATACTTCGCTACATTCGTGGCACTCTCGATCACGGCCTTCATCTCTCCCCCAATCCGGACCTCTCCCTTTATCGCTTACTCCGACGCCGATTGGGGTGGCTGCCCTGACACTCGTCGTTCGACATCAGGCTATTGTGTTTTCCTCGGCAACAATCTCATCTCTTGGTCCTCCAAACGACAGGTCACTACTTCTCGATCGAGTGCGAAGGCCGAATATCGAGTTGTCGCAAATGCCGTCGCCGAAACGACTTGGTTACGCAACCTACTCTCTGAGTTGCTCTGCCCACTTTCGAAAGCCACTATTGTCTACTGTGACAACGTCAGTGCCGTCTACCTATCCAGCAATGCTATTCAACACTCTCGTACGAAACATGTGGAGATCGATATTCACTTTGTCCGAGACAAAGTTGCTGTGGGACACGTTCGAGTTCTTCACGTCCCATCTGCCTACCAGTTTGCCGATATCTTCACGAAAGGACTTCCTACTCAACTGTTCCAACAGTTTGTCTCCAGTCTCCACGTCCTCTCCTTTCCCGTCTCGACTGCGGGGGTGTATTATATATATATATATATATATATATATATATATATATATATATATATATATATTATACGTATCTATTATTATTATTATTTATTCTAGTTACCTTGTGTAATAGGTTATGATTTCCTACATGTACCTATATATATAATTAATATACGTGAGAGACACTATTTTCTCTTTTTTCCAAATCTATTTCTCCTATAGTGGACAACAAGGTCATTACTAAAATTACTTGAGGTATTAAAAAATTAACGAAAACCCCTTTATATTGTCATTACAAATATATATAAAATATTACTCCAAATTTGACTATTGGTGACGAATTTATTTCTTGTAACGACACTAAATAGTTTTAGTGAGGATCATGTTGTTACCATAAATAGAGATATTGTAACAAAACTTAGGTCGTTACCAATACATTTGTAACGAATATAGAAAACTTGTCACCTAAACTTCTAGCGTCGAGCTTTAAAGGACAAACAAAAGGTAACAAATATGTCGTTACAATAAGTTTTAGCGACAAATTTAGCACTTATTGCGACAATTTTTTTCCTTGCTAAAAGTGTCTTTTCTTGTAGTGGACCCACACTGGTCCTTGCATCAAAATTATTCTGTTGACTTTCATGAAAAGACGGAACTAGCCCAATAAATTTTAAACAATTCAATTTTAAATAATAAAAGGGAAAAAGTGGAGGGGTGTCGGGGAAGACAACGGAAAAATATTAAAAATAATATTTGTTCGTGGCTTTTTTTTTTGTGAAAATCTTGAATTATTTCTGTTTTTTTCTGAAAATATTGATATGGGCTGATGTTTCCAGGGATTTTAAAGGGGTTTGAGATCTGTTTTCTTGTGGCAAATTTGCACGGGTTGTTGCTGGGTTTTTTGCAGTAAAAAAACGAGCTTGAAGCTTATTTATTTTCCCCTGATAGATTTTTTGTTTTGGATCTTGATCAGAACAGAGCTTGAGCCCTCGAAATTTAGAGAGAAGAATAAATTGAAATGTGCTTTACAAACCAATCATCTGAATCCTCTTTCTCCGCCGCCGAAGAGTCGCTGGAGTTGTGTCTTTCGTCATGGAGGAGCCGCGACCGTTACTAAAGGGCTGATGACCCGTTGCCAGAATGAAAAAAACAGTCCCTGACTCAAGCAAGAAGAGGGCTTTTTTGAAATTGAAGGAGACTTAATTGAAAATGTTGAAAACTTCATTTTGGGGAATGTTTTCCAGAATTTTAAATTAAAGGTATTTGAATCTTTTCACATCAAAAAATCAACCCCCAATCGCATATTTCGCGAGTGTATGACACCATCAACTCGAAAGGGCCTTATTGCCTTTGACTAACTTTAATTGGGGGTTCTTGCTAATTATTTTAACATATGAACTTTTGTAGCAATTAGAGATATCACATGGATGGTCAGTGCTAAAAGCTCAAAATTACTTGGCGACGAACTATTCAGTTAGAATCAAGGTTGTAAAAATCGATAATCGGGTCGGAGGCAGTCAGGCACCGACTCACGATTAATTGGTGCGACGGTAAAATTTAATATAATATATTTCTAGATATTATTTATAAATACTCGAAACATATATAAAAAGATGTTTAAATATAGTTGCATGCATCTCTATCATGTATATACATCCTAATAACATAATAAAAGTTTAATAATAATAAGATCATAATACATAAATATCCTTATAAAATATAAATAAAAAGGCAATTTTTTTGAATTTATATTTATTCTTGAACATTCCTATCATACATCATTAGATCTTTAACAATAACAGTTAAGAAAAACAAAATAAAGCATAAACTCATATTTTTTTATTAAAATCTCAACTTTTATTTTGAATTATAAAAAAAAATGAATTAGCTCATAAACTCATATGGCGACCATCCCTTAATGGTCATAAAAATATAAGTGTAAAATTTTATAGGCGAGGAAGAGGAAATATTTGTACGATCTGAATATCTACATTTATAGTGAATTAGCTCAACGTTTTCATGTGTCCTTTATCTACCAAATTGATATGCCTAATTGGGCCAACCCAATGGACTTACAATTTATTTACCTACTGGGCCACGAGCCCAATATTGAAGACTAATATCATCGAGGCCCAATCACCTTCAAATAAGGTTTGAGCTCAACGATCTCATCTATGGTATAAATAACGATATAATTCATTTGCTAAAGGTACGCCCTATTATCCAAATAATACTAGGGGTCATATTCTCCCGAACTATTTCCATTATCCGCACGTCTGACTTGAGCGTCGGAGGGGTTTCCGCCGGATCAACCCCCGGCCTAGTTCACGTGTTCTTTGTTCGCAGGTGTCTCAGGGCTATCTAGCACGTGAGCAGTGACCCACTTTGCTTTCCCAGCTCCTTCAATCTCAACTATATAAGGTGATCTATTTTTAGCATCATCACAAATTTATAAAAATATAGCTTTGAGTTAATGTATAAGTGCTTAACTCAAAGAGGGAATTCGGCATTGGACCTGTACGTTTAACGGAGTAACACGAAGATCGTCGGAGTAATAGGACCAGTGGTACGAGGAAATGTTATGCAATTTGTGTGATCTGATCTGTCCGAATTTTGAAGACCAGTGATCCGATTTGAGGTAAATAAAATTCAGTCCTTTTATACGTATGTGTGTCTCGAAGCATGCTCAGGTCAAAAACATAAAATAAAATAATAAACATGCTTGATAACTCTCGGGGGTTAGTAAATAGATGCAATAGTTAAGGTAAATTACACTTAAATCATGGGTATGTTAAAATAACTTTAGAGTCCTGGTAGTATCGGTAATTACAATCACCCCTGAAACATTATTAGAAACCCTAAGAGAATAATACTTTGGATAAGTTATTATGCTAGTGTTCTAATAGACTATTTGTTTTCAGGCCGTGGTGGAGACGATATAGAGCTAGGGGGTGGCATGACTCTCCTACTATTTCTTAAATCCTTATTATTTCATATAAAATTTATAAATTTTCGTCTATGGTGGCATTAACGGCCATGCGAGAAACAAATATAGTGTATATCGGTCCTCCTGACATGAATCTTGGCTCCAGCAATTATTTCAGGGGTGTGGCTGTAATTACAAATACCACAAAGATCTTAAAATTATTTTCACATACCTCAGAAATGTAAGTGTAATTTACTCTAGATTTATCTCTCACTATAATTGTTTTTTTAAGCAATGGGTGTAGTGTAGATGTCTGTGCTCGTGCAGTAGGTGTAGATCTGTGCGCGCGCAATATGTAAATGCTGTATTTGGGCTTTTGAGATTGTACACTCGTGAAATATACTATGTGGTTTTAAAACCGTAGATCAATATAAATAATTATTCACTAAGTAAACATACACATGAGTGTGTATTATTATGTGTAGACATTTAATTTATAAGCACATAGTGTATTTCATCAGACGTAGATTGTTCAAAGCCCCGTATTTACGTGTCAATATTTTATTCTATGTATAAGTTAAATTATGTAATAAGGATGGAATCGAAGAATAGTCACAACATTCCTAATTCTTAAAGACTGAGATTAGTCAATGGACTTTAGGACACAAATAAAATTTAAACTAAAGAATTTTGATTATATATTGCTAAGAAAATGCAGTGATTTTTGAATTTTCATGATGGCTGAAAATCTCTGCGAGAGTATTTTTATAGGGTAAATTATGGTCATTTTTGCAGTAAAGTCACGAAAAAATCATTTATGTTTAGATAATTACAATCATCCTCATTAATTAACTCTTCTTATATGCTCATTTTTGTGGTGGTCAAATTTAGTGAAACTTTATAGATTATGTGCAATATTCTCTAACTTGTACCCGTTTTACCACATGCAATCTCCACATTTTGAAATAAGTTAATCATAAGATTTGTTTATTGGCATGTAAATATCAAATTGTGGTGCATCACAAACTGCATTTTTTGCAGAAAACGAGTACAAACTAGATAATATTCTACAGAATGTACAACACTATAAGGGTGGACGTGAAAGATAATTCATAGTTGAGGTGGATACTTGTAATAATCCAAACATGAAGATTTTTTTTCGTAATTTAACTATTTCTATAAGTTTTTCATAATATATACTTGTTTATTGTTTTATCATGCTTAATTTTATAAGTCTATGACCGCAGACCATTCACCTTTTGATTTTGTTATAATAACTAATCGAACACATAATTCAATTTAGATATTGTTAATAATATTTTCCATATGACTTATTTTATATTATTCAAACAGTATCGGAGGAACAATTTTTATTGTCTGAAACCAAATACCAACAGAAAAAAATACAAGTACAAAAATCACCAGTCAACCAACATATTAAAACAACTAGCTAGTTACCAAAAGACAAAGATAACACCACTCATTAATTAATTAACTTAATTAATTAATTAATTAATAAAACCACATGTTTTCCTGATTTCACCTTGGCTCCCGGTCAACACACCAATTTTGCCCATTTTGACCATTGACTTTGCAAAGTCCTTCAAGAAATCCTTTGACCCTTGAGGAGTAGCATGGCTGGTGACGTAAGCCCTAGTTTCACTGTCGGCAAGAAGAGCTGCGTCAGATGTGAAAAGTCCTCTTCTTTTAGCAACAAGAGTGTAATACTCGGTATCGAATGTTTTAAAGCTTCCGGGGTCCATTTCAACAAGTGTAGTGGTATCGGTCGCACTGCATCTTGTCTTCAAACGAGCAACGTAGTTAGAGTCCAATGAAGGGTCACTGTCTCCAACACCGGTGAAGTTGTACAGGCGGTTAGTGAAACTCGAGCAATGCGATGTTCCTATTGTGTGTCCTCCTGCATATTTACGGTTTTTGCTAGTTACAAGAAAATATAGAATACGACAAAAATACCCTTGTCTTTCAATTGATTGTGTTTCAATTAATTAAGAGTGATATATGACAAAAACAAAAATTTAAGTAATGCCTAATGCATTAATGAATTTCAAAATCAAAAGTGTCAAATTATATAATTTAGGAACAAGAAAACATTTACTGCAAAGAGACAAATATTGTAAAACAAACGAGTATATAATTATTACCCGAGAGAACAACAAGGTCCTTTGCATTCAAACCCTTTGAGGCAAAGTTAGCTTTCAATTGAGTGATGTTGAAAAAGGGAGGTGGAAGATTGAACAAAACCTCTGTGCTGTTTGATACATTTCCATCTCTTCTTCCCAATGGCACTGGCCACGATGCTCCATTCAACTAATAAAAATTTACAATAAATAAATATAAGTATAATTATAAATAAACGAGATTTTATTTTTATATATAGATATATAATGATCTGCAGTACTTACAAGTGAAACTGCATCTCGTGCAACAAGAGCTAATATATCAGCACAAGAAACAACACCGGGGCACTTCTTCTCCACTGCGGATTTCACTCTGTCGATGGATCCATATCCTCTAAGGGATAGATTGGGAAATGAATCTTTCTCAGCTTGATTATTTGTTGTCGAATTCAATAGAATAGAAGCATCACAACCCTGCAAAACAAAAGTTATTACTTAATATATATATACATATATACACACACATATATGTTAATGGAAATGCAATATGAGATATTTGATTTGAAGTAAACATACCCTAACAAAACAATCGTGGAAATGCATTCTGAGAATAGGAGCGGCAAGAGTTGGAGCAACGGCCATAATACTAGCAGTTTCCTTTTTCACGATCGCCTCAGCAGATGGACAAGTCTTCTTGTAGAAGCCAAGCTTCAATCCTTGAGCATTACATGATATGTTGAATATGCCAACTAGTACAAGAAATACAAGAATTTGCTTACTGAAAGCCATTGGAACTAATGGATAACTCAAACTAAATGTTTGTTGTGTTCTTGTTTTGTTGGTGTGTAATGAGGATCATGCATGTGTATATATATATACACACACGAAAACTATCGAGCTGGGATGAGGGCGGCTTGAACATAATTAGTTGTATGTTAATAGTTGTTAATTTGAACAAGTGATCAATTATTATAATTGTCAAGTTGATGATAATAAGTGTTGACATATATAGTACGTAGTATAACATATTTAATATATGCAAATGTTCTGTATTTAATCATTTCTCACCTAATAATGTGATGGAATGACGGCTGGCCACCTTTTCGATAGGATTATATTTATTTTTGGCAGTAATTGTTCTACAAAAATGAGTTTTGAGTTTCACGGAAATTGGGTTTTTGCCAAAAAAAAAAAACTTCAGATTTTATAGAGTTTACGGAAACCTAAATATACATTGTATTCATATGATCTACGGTTGAATTTGGAAGGAAGGTTATATCTTAATAATCAATTAAACTTGTTTGGATAAATCCATTATCTAATCTAATTGTGCTGATAAGTTCTAATAAAATTGCATAATCTTTATATTTTGGTTAGTTTTATCATGACAACCAAACAAGGCCTTTAAAGCTCAAAATAATCCAAGAACAGGTAGATCTGTTAAGTTTATTTATGAATAAATAACTACTAACTATATATTATTAATTAATAATAAAACTTGACCTTAATATAAATTGACGACCATGTTACCCTTGAGTTGGTGTGTGCACTATCAGCATATGATGCAATGGAATCTTTAATTTTTATTATTATTTTTTTCTTTTGTCAATATATAATATTAAAAATGGTTGATATTGTGTGAGAGGCGATGAGAAAAAAATTAAAAAAAAAAATTTATAATTAATTCGTTCAAACGTACTAACGCTACATAACACACGCTACGTTTTTGGTAAGAGTTGTTATTCATCGTCATTGTAGGGCACCTCTCTAAAACCCCATGTTCTGAGGCACGAAAAAGTCATATTAAGTTACCATTGATTTTCATATTCCATTTGATTAATCATTGAGATGTGGTTAGCACAAACCATAATTTTATCAATATATATTCTTCTTATTAAAATTAAATTCAAATCTTGTTGTAAATGATTAAGTATGGTATAGAGTATAGACATGATTTGAACTCTTGACCTTGATCCAATCCTAGTAGTTAATTCGTCGAGTCGATCTTAGAACCAATATTCTTCATGATCGGGAGGCTTAATTCTAATGAGAAGAAGCTCGAGAATAAAAAACCGTAAGATGATTTGAAGATTTCACGATCGCTTCAATCTCAAGTAAATCTACCTATCATTTATGAAACACGTAACTTTTAGTTGATGGCTGGCGCCAATGGCGATTCCAGGATTTTGTTAGATGGTGGACTTAAAAATTTTCGGGGGGCATCGCTGCTGAAAATAAAAAAGTTATGATGTCTGTTTTTTTATGTGCATAAATTAGGACATAATCTGAAAATTGGAAAGAAAAAAAAATATTTAGGATTTTTTGCATTAGATTGAAATTTGGTGGACTAAATAATAATAAAAAAAAATAGGTGGATCAAATAAAAATATATGTATAATATAATTTACTAATCGCCATAGGGTGGAATCGCCACTGGCTGGCACACAAGGTCACTCTCCAAACAAATTGTTGAAACACATCGAGAACCTAAAAAGACGTCGTTCTGGTCATCTATGAACACCAAGGTCGTTACTAAAAGTACTCGGCACTGAGTTGTTGGGTTAGATTATATTAGAAAAACGGTCTATATTGCGACCACCTATTAATGGTCGTAAAAATATATGGTGAAAATGTATTTTCTAAAACTATATCACAGTTTTGATAAACAAATAAAAAACTGGTGATTTAAATGCAATTTTAGAAAGCATTGAGGGTTGTAAAAGAGGTTTTTCATTATTTCAAATTGACTCCGAACCAAAATCAGGAATAAATTCAATTTAGGGGACTGGATAGCAATTTCAAAAACTTAATTAAATTGCCCCAACTAGACACCCGCTGGCCGCGGCAACCACCATTTCATCCCCCAATCTGCCTCCACCACCCTGATTTCCGCCGGAGACATACAACCCACAAGCATCGACGCCGAAACTGTCGGTACCTGGACTTCCCTTTATGCGAATTATGCCGCCCTGGCGAGACCGAAGCTCCATCCCCGCCCGAGACTTCACGGCCAAGAATCATGACCATTGGGCCGCCTCGTCTCGGAATCGGTGGGATTTCGAAAATTTCATTAGTTTATTCATCGTCATCACAGGTAGGAGTGTGAACGAGCCGAGCTCGGCTCGAGCTCGGCTGTTTTGGCCAGCTCGAGCTTGAGCTCGAGTCCATATTGACGAGCTCGAGCTCATCGAGTCAATTTTTGTTGGCTCAAGCTCGAGCTCGGGCTATTTTAGTTTTTTTTTTAATTATTATTTAATTTTCTTATTAAAATCATTTAATTTTTTATTAAACATTATTTATAGGAAAATAAAAAAAAAATTATAAAATAAATAATGAACTCTAATTATATATTTTTTATTATTATTATTTTAATATTTTATATTATTATTAATTATCTAAGTAATATAGATTTGTTTCTATTTAAATACTATAAATATTTATTATTATTGACTATTTACTATTTTGTTGTTAATAATAATATATATATATATATATATATATATATATATATATATATATATATATATATATATATATATATATATATATATATATAAATCATTATTATATTACACAAGATTTATAAATCTCCGTCTGTGGTGCATTAACGGCCACGCAGGAAACTGATATAGTGCATATCGGTTCACATGACATGAAATTTTTGCTCTATTAATTGTTTCAGAAGTGTGGCTGTAATTACCAATACAACATTGATCTTAAGGTTATTTCAACATATCTTACGGGTGCAGGTGCAATTTACCCATAGACATATATGTATAATATAATGTTACTAATCGCCATAGGGTGGACTCGCTACAGACAGGTATACAATATCACTTATTCTCCAAACAAATTGCCGAAACAAATCGAGAACCTAAAATGACGTCGTTCCGGTCATCTGTGGACACCAAGGTCGTTACTTGAAGTACTCATCACCGAGTAATTGTTAAGTTAGAGTATATTATGTTGGGTTTTTTCAAGTGAATAAAAATTGTTAGGTAATTATGAATAGGTATTAATTTGGAATATATGAATTGATTTCTTTCTAAACAACACATCTATTCATAAAGTGACTCTTTCAAAAACAACATATCCATTAACGAAAAGACCCTTAAATATCGTACAAATAAGACAAAACCTGATCAATTTTGCATACGATAAAATAAGACGTTTAAGTGTTTTTCAAAATAATAATTTGTCTCGCTCCTAATATAGACTTGTTCTTCTTTTCCATATGGTTTCGTTATAATGACTAATAGAATACAAATTTTAATTTAGATATTTTCCATAATATTTGGAACACACGATCCAGATTGAGAAGTTTCAACAGCCGTACAAGTACAAATTAAAAATAAAACTTTCATTATATTTCTTATTTTATTGTCTGAACCATTACAAAGAAACCAAATACCAACAGAAAAAAATACAAGTACAAAAATCACCTGTCAACCAACATATTAAAACAACTAGCTGGTTACCAAAAATCACAAATAACACCACTCATTAATTAATCAATTTAATTAATTAATTAATTAATAAAACCACAAGTTTTCCTGATTTCACCTTGGCTCCCTGTCAAAACACCAATCTTGCCCATTTTGACCATTGACTTTGCAAAGTCCTTCAAGAAATCCTTTGAACCCTGAGGAGTAGCATGGCTGGTGACGTAAGCCCTAGTTTCACTGTCGGCAAGAAGAGCCGCGTCAGATGTGAAAAGTCCTCTTCTTTTAGCAACAAGAGTGTAATACTCGGTGTCGAATGTTTTAAAACTCCCAGGATCCATTTCGACAAGTGTAGTGGTATCGGTCGCACTGCATCTTGTCTTCAAACGAGCAACATAGTTTGAGTCCAATGAAGGGTCACTGTCTCCAACACCGGTGAAGTTGTACAGGCGGTTAGTGAAACTCGAGCAGTGCGATGTTCCTATGGTGTGTCCTCCTGCATATTTAGGGTTTTTGTTAGTTACAAAAAAATATAAAAAATGACGAAAATACCCTTGTCTTTCAACTGATTAAGAGTGATAAATGACAAAATAAAAATAAAAATAAAAGAAATTGTAATTAATGAATTTTAAAAGTGGCACATCAAATAATTTAGTACCAAAAAAAATTAACTCTAAAGAGTCAAATATTTTGGAACGAAGGGAATATATAATTATTACCGGAGAGAACAACAAGGTCCTTTGCATTCAAACCCTTTGAGGCAAAGCTAGCTTTCAATTGAGTGATGTTGAAGAAAGGAGGGGGAAGATTGAACAAAGCTTCTGTGCTGTTTGATACATTTCCATCTCTTCTTCCCAATGGTACTGGCCACGATGCTCCATTCAACTAATTTACAATATATGCATACAAATAAATAAGTATAATTATAAATAAACAAGATTTTATTTTTATATATACATATATAATCATCTTCAGTACTTACAAATGAAACTGCATCTCGTGCAACAAGAGCTAATATATCAGCACAAGAAACAACACCGGGGCACTTCTTCTCAACTGCGGATTTCACTCTGTCGATGGATCCATATCCTCTAAGGGATAGATTGGGAAATGAATCTTTCTCAGCTTGATTATTTGTTGTCGAATTCAATAGAATGGAAGCATCACAACCCTATCAAAAGTAACTAATTAGTACATCTACATAAAAATACCTAAAGAAACATATATTGAGAGAGAGAGAGAGAGAGAGATAGAGAGAGAGTATATACCCTAACAAAACAATCGTGGAAATGCATTCTGAGAATAGGAGCAGCAAGAGTTGGAGCAACAGCCATAATACTAGCAGTCTCCTTTTTCACGATCGCCTCAGCAGTTGGACAAGTCTTCTTGTAGAAGCCAAGCTTCAACCCTTGAGCATTGCATAAGTTGAATATGCCAACCAAAACAAGAAACACAAGAATTTGCTTACTGAAAGCCATTGGAATATCTCAAACTAAGTGTTTGTTGTGTTCTTGTATGTTTGGTGTGTGTAATGAGGATCATGCATGTATATATATACTAAATCAATCTAGGCTTCAAACATAATTAGTTGCGTTAATAGTTGTCAGTTACATGATCAAGTGACCAATCATAGTTGTCAGTTTAATTAAAAATTAAGTGAGGGTTGACATAGAGAGTATAATGTATTTAAATATCTGCAAATGTGCTGTAGTTTGTCATTTCTCACCTAAAATACTCATCGAATGATGGCCATATTTTATATATTTTATTATGTAAAAAAATGAATTTTGTGTTAATTGATGAGGTTAATTAATTATTATATTCGATAACCTTATATTAATTAGTGCATATGAAATTTTCTATAACATGAATTTTTTTTTAACAATCAAAGTAAATTATCGTAGGTTCTGCAAAAATGAGTTCTGAGTTTTACGAAAATTCGGTTTGCCGTAAACTTCAAATTCTAGTTTTTATAGTAACCAAAATATATATTGCATCCCAATGATCTAAGTTTGTCATTTGGAATAGAATGGTATATTCCTATATAATGAATTTAAAATTCAAACTTGTTTGAATGAATTTCAACTAAGGTAAATTTTATGGAAGAGGAGGTAGATCTATTAAGAGTATAATTTCTAAATAAATAATTTCTTATCAACGGCCTAATTAATAAATGATAAAAACTTGACCTTCATGCATGCATGTCACCCTTGAATAATTAGTGCATTCACAGTTCCTGTAAGGGATGACCTAGCGGTTTGAGCAAGTGAGCATAGTTAATTGAGTCAGATACGAACCTCATTGTCAACAATTGCTACATAGGTCGACCTTATCACACATAATTAACCTAGTATAGTTTACGTTTCTCGTATAATTTGAAAACTATTACACGAAAATGTAGATTTATCCAGTACACCTATATAGTTGGTTACGTGTTACCAAATAATAATAATAAAATTAATCATGTACTATCATGATCATATGACTCAATGGAATCTTTAATTTAATTTAATTTGGGTCAATCATATCAACAGTATAAAATATATAGTACAATAATGCTAGTATTGTCAACAGTACTCACAGACATCCCTACTTGTCATAAAACATGTTCTTATTCATACAATTCAAACATATATATAAATATATTTATTTAATAAAATGAAAATTGGATAATATTGACCAAGACGAAATATAAAAATAAAAAGTAATTATATTTACATAATAATTTTGAATTATACTCAACTCTATCATCCCATGTTCTGAGGCATTACATTACACCGTTAAATCTAACATTACATTTCACGACCAATTTGATTAACAATTAAGATCTGGCTAGCACAAGCCACTATTGGCCAACTATGTATAGTCAAAATATATTCTATTTAATGAAGTATACATACATGCAGTGGCGAATCCAGGATTTTTGTCAAGGGTGTTCGAAATTAAATATAGTAAAAAATATAATGATTGGCTAATAGTTTACGGGGGTTCGGGGGCTGCGCCCCCGAAATTTTTTTTTTTTGAATACTATACACATTAAATAATAAAAAATCTTTAAAATTTTTAAATTTAAAGGGATTATTTTACCATTTTTGGGCAAATTTAGGAAATATTTAGACATAAAATTGGTGAAAATATTAAACGAGTGGTAAACATATTATAGTTGCAAGTGACAAAATGTACGTTTCATTAGCAGATTTTGAATTTTCAAAAAGAAAAAAAAAACCCACATAGTTGTAAATATAGAAAAAAATTGAAATAATACACACACATATATATATATATATATATATATATATATATATATATATATATATATATATATATATATATATATATTCAATATTTAGAATTTTGGAATAATTTATATTATATTTAATATTAAAGAAATGGTAAATAAATTAAAGTTACAAGTAGCAAAATATATGTTATATTAGGAGATTTTTTTTAAATATTAAAAAATACCTACATATTCAACATTTTTTAAAACAATTGAAATATTGAATTTTGGAATAATTTATATTATATTTAATATTAAAGAAATGGTAAATAAGTTAAAGTTACAAATAGCAAAATATATGTTATATTAGGAGATTTTTTTTTTAATATTAAAAAATACTCACATATTCAACATTTTTTAAAACAATTGAAATATTGTATGTAATGGAAAATTAGGAATAAAAAAGAAACAATAATATGAGAGGTTGAGACTCTCAGGTTTCGAACCCTGTACCTCGGACGAATTCTATAGAGCACTTAACCAGTTAAGCTACAGCATGCATTGACAAAGTTTTACATTTGCAGTTATATAATGATAAATATATAGGAAATAATTTTTTTTTTAAAATCAAGGGTGTGCAGTAGCACACCCTTGGACCACACTAGATACGCCACTGCATACATGGAAATGTACAAGTCACTTACACTAGGGTTGTGTAAGATCGGATCCGGTAATTATCGGCCAATTACCTATTCTACCTGATCAATTGATTTTGGTGAATATTGAAAATTAATTACAGACCCAACCATCACGGGGCGGAAGCAATTGACTTTGTCGAATAAAAAATGGACCGGTTGTTGGTATTGTCTGTCATCTAATTAATTTTTATTTTTTTTTATTTTACAATAATAAGATGTTTTTAAAAGTTTTTTCTAGGAGATATTCAAAAATTTATTAGGCCTAATTCATATTAATACATATTTAAAACGATAGGTAGACATAACAATAAAAGTTTTAGATTCTGCCGATTCAACTAGAAAATTTTAGTTTATGAAAGAAAAATTCATATGATTTTTTGAATCATGATTTTCCGATTTTTCTTATTTTGTGGAACAAATTAAAATTATAGTTAAATTTTCACTTCGGAGAAAATTAAAACTGTTCTGAAAATGCTAACCCCGATCCAATCAGTCATATTTCACCCGTAATGGCAATGGCATTGACATGCATTTTTTGTAATTCAACAGAAAATCGAATAATAGCATTTTGAACTCCGACTCACATTTATTAATATTTATAATTTTTGAAAAATAATTAAAAATTCTAATTTATTAGATTTATTTTTCAAATTTGATATATTAAACAGCAATGTAAACGGAGATGATAGTTGCTAGAACGACTACTTATTTTTTTGTCTACAATAATATCTTGATAGTTGATAGAACAACTACTTACTTAATTTTATTTACGATTGCATAATTTTTTTAATCAAGTGATAATGGACAGCCTAACAGTATATATCTCTTTCAAAACTTTACTATTTAGTTGTTAATTTACTTACAAGAAAACTAATCAATATTAATTATGTTTGTTAGACAAGTCAACTACGAAAAGGAGAACATGATTAGGGGCTTAATTATAATTAATTACTAATTGTAATCTGTGGTAACCACGTCCATGGTTTATTATGGTCATTGACTATATAAATTGTTTCTTTTGCTTTTGGTGCAGATAACTTAAGGTAATATCAGAACACTACCAAAAAAATATATTTTTAGTGACAACATCTATTTTTCACATAGTTATGCAAAAAGTGTTGTCACTATGCTTGTCACTAACGGGGAGGATTAAGTGACAACAAAAAGAGCTATTAGTGACAATAAAACAGATATTGTCACTTAATGTGTTCATTAAGTGACAACTTTTGTATTTGTCACAATTAGGGTGTCGCTAATCCAACTTTTTCTTGTAGTGGAATGGACACAATTTATGTTAGGTTACAAGGTCAAACTATATTCGAAGGGGGTTTTTGCGCTAAATATGCAAATATGGGGGATTTTTTGTAATTTGACATTACCTCACAGAGGCGACTTTTATTTTATAATGTAGAAAAATATAAAGGGTAAATATCATTTGACCTCCCTGTTGTTATAAGCTTTTGCAGATGACCAATTTGTGCTCGTAATATCATCACATAACCCCCTTGTAGTTGATAGGGATATCTACTGTTAGTTTTTTCGTCAAAATTAACTGCACATGTCACATGTTAAAATACTATATTTTGCAGATAGCCCCCTTGTAGTTAGATTCCCTTCAATCTTTGCAGATGATTCCCTTGAAGTTTGACGCACAGTTAAACTTGACGGAAAAACTAACGGATGTTACATCTATCAACCACAAACGAGTTTGTTATGTGCTAATATTACGATCACAAGGGATCATCTGCAAATGCTTATAACCACGGGGTTAAATGCAATTTACCCAAATATAAACTAACCTCTAATTATTAGGAAGGTGGACAAGTTGACAATATAATGCATGGTGTTTTTAGTACTATCGAGACAGGTTTACTCTATCCTACACTTAGTTGACTCACTAAGTGTATACTCCATTGATATATAGTGTTAACTACACATTATTTGCGCACGTCCATATGTATATGTGAGTGTAAATGTGTGTATATATATACCTTAATAGATTTCTTTGTAAAATTCACCAGGTGTAAGGTCTCAAAAAGTATATAGAAACAACTAATTAGTTTAAAGTCTAATTAGCGTACGGTGATATTTCATTTATTATTTTTTACGCATGTCATCAAATTGAAGAAACACGTGAAAATCGTTCTATAAATTAATTATCGATTCATCTGAATGTGGCAAGGAATTAAAATTCTATTATTTGAAGAAAGAGTAAATTTGTTAGTAAATATTCTCAACATTATTCAATAAAAGGCTATAGAATTCCATAGGGAAAAAAAAATAGGAAGAAAGAAACGAATGGAGCCGAATAATCTTCTCGTCAAGTCGTTGTCACTTTAATTTGCCGACGATTGAGTTCCTTGTTTGATGCAAAATATTTCTCCAAGTCTGTATTGAAGATATTAAATATTAAATAATGCATTTTACTAATAGGTTAAGCTTTTGGCCGAGCCAAAAGGTCTCTGGATTGACACTTAATTGATTGTTCATTTCCCAAAACCACCTTGATACTAAACCAGATTGAGCCGGGGGTCTTCTTGGAAATGGGAAGATCTAGGATAGGCGGCCAACCTCCTGGAGAGAGCGATGTGCATGGACCAGGTGAGTAGGGATGCAGCTCCGTGGACCGCTCGTCGGGCTTTCGGAACCCGAAAAAATAAGCGGTTTTTCATTATTTGATTGTGGTTTAGTAAAGAGAGTAGCCCCAGAGCGCATCTTCCTTTTTGAATCACCCAGGCGATGATAAGTGATAGTCGTTGCTTTGTACTTGAAGGAGTTTGCTTGCTCTGAACGGAGCTGAGAAGGCGAAAGAGGTTATTACAATAAGATTGGTTAGAGATGATCAGTCAATATGGTATCAGAGTCAAGCCAAATGAAAGGTTATAAGTTCAAATCTCACCGCCACCAATTTCAAATATTTAAAATGCAAGACTTCAAATATAATTCGTCTGCACTTGAGGGGGCGTTCGGCTCGTGCCCTAGTCCCTAAATTGAAAAATAAATGGAAAAAAGAAAAAAGGTTTAGCATTGGGCCTTCTTTGAAACAAAATCAATGTGAAAGGCCTTTACTATTGGGCTAATTTGTGCTTGTGAGCCCAATAACTTGACCCATAAATAACAATTATTGAAGTCCTTTTCTATAAAATTAGTTTGAGCCGATCTGTTAAGATAAAAAAAACAATAATAAAAAAAAAATAACTTTGTTAGTTAAAGCCAAGGTTGTAAAAAGCGGTAATCGGGTCCGAGTCGGTCAGGCACCGATTCACGATTAATCGGTGCGGCGGTGATTAATCGGTGATAAATCGGAAATAAATCGGTTTTTAAAATTTAATATAATATATCTCTAGATATTATTTATAAATACTCAAAACATATATAAAAAAATATTTAAACATAGTTATATCTCCATCGTGTATATATTATTAATAATATAATAAAAGTGTAATAATTATAGGGGTAATGACAAATAGGCCCATGACAAGGGCACTTAATTAAAAGAGGGACATTCAACTTTTTTGTCTTTCAAATAAATCCAACTCATTCAAACTTATTTGCAAATAAGGAAAATCCCTTTATATATACCAAAATTACCCCCAATTCATTGAAACCCAATTTAACTCAAATTTCATGATTTACACCCCAATTTAGCCCAATTTCATCAATTAACCAATTTTAACCCTAATTTCAATTTTGACCCCAATTTTGACCCGCCACCACCGGAGACCGCCGGTCGCCGCCGTTGACCGGCGTTGACTTTTTTTTTTTTTTTATATAATTTTGTTTTTTCTTAAAAAAAATATTTTAATTAATATTACTGTCTTGGCTGCTAAATTACTGTCTCCGGCAGTTATTTAACTGTCGGAGACAGTAATTTAACTGTTAATTGACTCTTTTGTTTTTTTTTTTTCTTCAAAAATATTTTAATTAATATTACTGTATTCGTTGCTAAATTACTGTCTCCAGCAGTTATTTAACTGTCGGAGACAGTAATTTAACTGTTAATTGATTTTTTTATTCTTAAAAAAATATTTTTAATTAATATTACTGTATTCGTTGCTAAATTACTGTCTCCGGCAGTTATTTAACTGTCGGAGACAGTAATTTAACTGTTAATTGACTTTTTTTTTTTCCTTAAAAAAAATTATTTTAATTAATATTACTGCCTTGGATGTTAAATTACTGTCTCCAACAGTAATTTAACTGTCTTAGACAATAATATTAATAATATTACTGTTCGGAAAAATAATATTCATAATATTACTGTCCCAAACAGTAATATTACTGTCTGAGACAGTAATTTAGTAGCCAAGACAGTAATATTAATTAAAATATTTTTTTTCTAATAACAACAATTCAAAAAAAAAAAAAAAGTCAACGCCGGAGACCGGCGGTCAACGGTGGTTGACCGGCCGGAAAAAAATTTCAGGAAAAAAAAAAGTTTCAAAAAAAAAAAAAAAAAAAAGAAAAAAAAAAGTCAACGCCGGAATCTGGCCGGAAAAAAAAAACATTTTAGAAAAAAAAATTATTTTCTGAAAAAAAAAATTTGTGGGGATTAATGTGATATATTTGTTTAAATTCGGGGTCAATGTGTAATATTAAGGAAGTTAGAGTATAATGGGTGGAATTGATAAGAATTATATTATTGAGGGTATTTTTGACTAAAGACATGGGGATGGGCTTGATTGAGAGACTGTTTTTTTGGTGGACCAAAATGCATTTAAGTACCATGTGATGGGCCTTTTTGCCATTTGCCCATAATTATAAGATCATAATACATAAATATCCTTATAAAATATCTTATAAAATATAAATAGAAAAGCAATTTTTTTGAATTTACATTTATTCTTGAACATTTCTGGCATACATCATTAGTTCTTTAACAATAACAATTAACATAAACAAAATAAGGCATAAACTCATATTTTCTTTATTAAAATCCCAACTTTTATTTTGAACTATTAAAAAAAAAAACAAAAAAACAAAAAAAAAAAACCGATTTTTGACCGATGTTTGGCCGATTTTTGCGACCGAGTTTGACCCGCCTTAAAGGTTTGACCGCCTCGGACCGCCTCAGACCGCCTAAAACCGCCTCACAGGCAAAAAACCGATTTTTCAAACATTTACACTAAAATCGTAAAGGTTTTGGACCGCCTCCGCCTCGGAGACCGATTAATCGGCCGCCTCGGCCGATTTTTAGAACACTGGTTAAAGCTAAGAAGTTGCTGAGTTTTTGACTTTTGACTTTTTCATTAATTTTTTATGATAAAAGATTTTGCAGCGAATCATATAGGGCATGTACACTGAGTAAATCTCTACTCTCTTGTAATACTAATAATTTGCAAACACGAAATAAGTTATGTACGACTGATCGCATTGCTTTTTACATGGTCAAGTTTTTTTTTTATATAACTATCCCTACAATTCGCCGTAGACGGTCTTCGGGGAAGAACTCTCTGTCAGAGTTAGGGGTTTTAGAGATAAAGACCCGCTAATCGCAATGGGCTGTTTGAACTAGGCCAATCCCGTGTAATAGTCCAACTAATCTATGAGTTTGGCCCGTTTGCCAAATCCGCCCCAATCAACGACTAATTCGATCTAGAGATTATATTGTTGGCAGTGCGATTTGAGAGTTGTTGACTTCTTTGCTTTGACTTTATGATGAACATAGTCGAGTTTTATTTTCAGAATTTACAAGGCGTCCAAGTGCATGTTCTTTTTAAAATAAAAAAAATAAAAAAATTACCAGTCATAATTATATTTTTTTTTTCATCACGCGCTGGCCGATGGGGTGTAATAATTTATTTAAGTATTTAAGTAGATCTTTATTTTTTAGAATAAAATATAAATATATAAATTCTTATCTTATTAAATTAAAACAACTTGACACATATACAACTTTCAAGTTTCAACCCTTATTTCCTCGATTAATTAATTATATTAATGTTCACAAACTCTTTATATTATGACCTGTCGTTTATGATTTATAATTGGTTGTTTGTCGGTACGACCATAAATTGGCGGGAATGACTGTTGAGAAACGGCAATGGTCGTTGAAGTAAATAAACAGATAGTTATAATTGTGGAAAATTATAGAATGGGAAATTAGTTGGATCAATCGAATTGTCGTGTCATTACATAATTGTTTAATAAAAGTTGAAGTAAATTCAAAATGGGACATCAATTAATGACATAACTCATAAGTCATAACAACAATGTAGTAGTCCATCGGTCAATTAACCTAAATTTGAATCTCCTTGTCAACGGTTGCTAGATTCAGATTGTTACACATGGTTAAATTTGTGTGGTTTACGTATCGCGTATAGTTTGCAAGCTATTACATAAGAGTGTAGGTTTACCGAGTACACCTATATGGTTGGTTGTGGTTTCCTTTATTACCAAAATAAATGTAATACTCCCTATATTCCATACTAATTGTCTCTTTTTATTTTTTTTAATTATAATGTCACTTTAGATTTCCAATATTGCATTAAATGCATTTTTTTATATTTAACATTATTAATAAACTCTTAGTATTATCACGTCATTTAATGATCAAGGTTATTTAGATCTTTTTTAAAATATTTTTCCTAAAATCAAGACACAAATTATTGACATTATTAATATTGTGAAACACTGAAAAAAGACAATTAGTTAGGAACGAAGGACGTATATGTTGTAATAAGTTTTATTCATTTCCAGCTAATTCAACTCTATCTAAACAATATATTATTGTTTCGGTTAGAAAATTTACGCAAGGTTTTACAATGGAATTAGAACGGTAGTTTCCGTGACATCCTTAACGGTCATTCCTTATAATTAAGAATCATAAGTGGAATAAGTATTTTACTACTTCCATTCCTTCATATTCGACTTTTTTTAGCTTTACACACGGATTAATGATCTCATTTGATATTGCTTATTGTTTTTTTTTTTTAAATCAAGACTAAAATGCCCTTATCCCAACGTTGCAGAAAGTTAATAAGGACAAAGCTGAAAATTAAATAACTAATGCAGTATTTAAATTCTAAACCAACAATTAATATTGAACAGTTATTTTTTTTTCAAATGTAATATATATTGTGGAACAGATGAAGTATTTTATAGCACTCTAATTCCAACGGAAATTAAATATAATAATGGATATTAATGTTCCTATTTTTTGTCCAAGTCCACTTAAGTACTAGTTGTAGTATCACTCTTTCCTAGACTTTCCTCTTTTGAAAAACTTCCCAACAACATAAAATTTACTAATTTAAGTTCAACTACCTATCAAACTTGAACCCTCATTCCCTTTTCATCAACTACCCTTCTCCTTTCTTGTCAACTACCCTTTTCTCTCTTTTAATTTACAACTCTCCTCCAAACAGATATGCAAAGCTCTTTCTTCCTTGCAAATTCTTCCTATATATACATACTACATACACACGCATATACATACACGTACATATATACATACATAGATCGATCAATAACTGCCCGGTTCTTGAAAACTGTGGAAACCCTAATGGAGGATGATCAAATATTGCCGAAGTCCACTACAGCTGATCGTGATGCGGTTGTCGGCCTAGGTACGTATGATGTATGTATGTATGTATGTATAATTGATGGATGTTGTTTAATTTTATGAGAAAAACAAATCATTTTTATTTTGTTCGATCCTTCTTGTAGAATTGCACCGAATTCTGGTATTTCGTAAAGAAGTTTTGTATGAATTATATTCTTCGATAATAGGAAACTACGTAACTGAATCATTAACTAATTATGGAATATTTAAGTGAATTATATGTTGCATTTTATGTGACATGTATATATATATATATTCCGTGCTTTGGGTTTTAATTAACCAGATTTTTCGGGTACCTGTTAGATGTGGTAGCTGCTGAAAATACCAGCAGACAAGACTCCAAGCAGGTTGAATTTTCACTAGATGAGGAAACCCTAGTTACCAGGATGTACAATTTGGTTGGAGAAAGGCAATTTTTCTTATTAATCCACTTTTAATTACATGTTTTTTATTGTTGCTAAATCATTATTGCAGATTAATAAATAAATTTTTTTTTTGGACACAATTTTCGTAAGATTTTAGTGAATGCCGGCTATTTTTTTTAAATTGCTACGAAAAAAAAACTTTTTTTTTTTTGTAACGAAGAAATCTGCAGCCGACCATTAAGGTGCACTGGATAAACCTACAGTCTCGTATAATAGCTTGCAAACCATACGAGAGACGTGAAAAAGATAATTCTTGAATATATTTCAGGTGGTCTTTGATTGCTGGAAGAATCCCTGGAAGAAATGCTGAGGAAATTGAAAAGTATTGGAACTCAAAACATTCTACATGTAGTGAAATTAAGAAGCCAGAGCTTACTTACCTGAATTAAATATACATGGTTAATTATACTGAACAATTTATTCATGTCTTTTATCATTTCTTATTCTGCATATTACTAATTACACTCGTATGTAATAGCTACATTTTTTAATTTCCGTTCGAATTTAGTACGATTTTCGGAGATTTTGCTATAGATTCTGAGTGTTTATAATTAGTTCCACAAGATTAATTCAACGTAATTATTTCTTTTATACGCCAGTCATATTTAATTTGAGTCCGAAACAAGCACCGAAGCTCAAGCAAACCAATGACCGAAAATCATGAGCATAGCTTATTAATCACATCAGATTTCGGCGATTCGATGTCCTCTAGACTCCCAAAAGTCAACTTTTATCATTTTAGAAAAGTTTCCGAAAATTTATATCAATTCATAAAAAAAATCTGACGAAGACTTTGTTATTTTTCAGGAGTATAAATACGTATATAATAGCTAGGGTTTAATTTAAGTTCGAATTTCGTACAATTTTCAGATATTTTTGGTTCTTTTTTTGTGGATTTTGAATGCTTATTTGTTCCGCGAGATGAATTGGATGTGATTTTTTTTTTCGTGAACCAATCGTATTTGAGTCTGAACCGAAAACATTGATCAAGCAAAAAAATGTCTCAATAAACAAGTCATAAGCATAGGTAATTCATCAGGTAAAATTTAATTTTCGTTGATCCGACATCGTTTGAACTCCAATAGTCCATTTTTGTCATTTTAGGAAAGTTTTAGAAAATTTATATATATTAATTAATAGAAAAATAGATGAGGATTCCGATAATTGGTTTGTCCCCAAAATTGCAAGATCTATTAGCATACGAGTTTAGTTCGTTTCCGCCATTTATTTATATTTTTTTGTTTTTTACCGATTTAATTATTTCTTTCGGTTTTATTAGGATGTTAAACTTTTTAGTAGTATAAATTTGTATATAATGGTTAGGTTTTAATATGAGTTCGAATCTAGCATAACTTTCAGATGTTTTTTTCTCTCTTTCAGTGGACTCCGAATGTTCATGATCTACGTAATTTCTCTTTTAATACAGAAGTCGTATTTTGAGATCGACACAAAAATTCTATCTCAATTAGCAAAAAGGCCCACGGATCAAAGCTCATCACCCTAGATCATGAATCACGCCAGTCTTCGGAGATCCGACGTTGTTTAGACTCCTAAAAGTTCGTTTTTTTTTTTTTTGTCGTTTTAGAAAATGCTTCAAAAAATTCAAATCAATTTATTAAAAAAATTTTAGATCGATTCCATAAGTTCGGTTGTTTCCACAAGTGCGAGATATATTAGAATTATAGTTTAACTCATTTTCTTCCGTCGTTTGTGATTTTTTGCTTTTCCACGGTTTAGTTTGATTTCGGAATTTTATTAGGATGTTATTACCTTTTTTAAAAGTATAAATACGATGCAATAGCTAGGTTTTAATATAAGTTTGAATTTGTTGTACAATTTTCAGAGATTTTTCTCTCTTTTTTGATGTTTCGAATGTTCATTTTTTTTTACGTAAGTATTTCATATATACGCCAGTCAGGGGCGGACCCAGGGAGTTTTGGGCTATGTTGTATGCACGGACACTTCTAGAAGGTGAACACCAATCAGGGGCGGACGCCAGTCAGGGGCGGACCTGTATTCGACACATGGACACTCGGACGCACCCGGACACGGCTCGGACACCCGTGTTGGGCAGTGTCATAATTTCACAAAAGTAAGACACCCGTATCGGGCAGTGTCCGCAATTTTTAAAAAGTTGGGACACGATTCTTATGTTTTAAGAGAAAACCCTAATAAAAAAAAATACGTATTTTCTTTTCTCTGTAATACACATTTGAGAGTCTACCCCAAAGTCCAAAACTCTAGCGGCGACGGCGACCAAGAACCCAACAAGGGCGAGCGGTTCTCTTATGCGATTTGACTACTTATAATATTTTTTTTTAATTTACAAATGTACCCCTATGTTTTAATAATTTATAAATATACCCCTATATTTTTTATATTTACGCGTATTCCCCACGTGTCCGTATCCTAGTTTTTTTGAAATGCCGTATCACCGTGCCCATATCGGCGTATCACTGTGTCCGCGTATCCGTGTTTGTGCGGCATAGATTTTGGGTGGGGAGATAGAAACATTTTTATGGGCTAAAGTACATAAGTTAATAGACAAATAACACAATAATATTTAAAAAATAAAAAAAAATAGGTAAAAACAAATTTCCTACAGGGGCGGGACCCCCCCAAGACATACCTCGGGTCTTCCCCTGACGCCAATCGTATTTGAGTTTCGAAACAAAAATCATGTCGCAAGCGGCGGCACAAGGAACGAAACTCATGAGCATATATTGCTCAGTAGACACGTTAGATTTCGGGGATCTGACGTCCAAAGTATTTTATGCCGTTTTATGAAAGTAATAACTCGTTTTTTCCTCTCATTTTGCACAAATTTTAATTATGTTTTCGATTTTTATTAGGATCTTATAAAACATTAAAGTGGTTTGTTTTACACAACACAAGTGACCTTTTTCTAAAATTTTATTGGTTCAAGACTCTCCATCATGATTGAATAATATAATTTTTTTTTTCCGAAAGAGTACACTAGATAAATTTATACTATCGTATAATAGCTTGCAAATTATACGAGAGACGTAAACCACACTAAGCTAATTATGTGTGACAAACTCGACCTTACGACCGTTGACAGGGGCATTCGAACCTTGAACAATTAAAATTGACTTACTTACTCCAACCGTTAGATCATCCCTTGCTGGATAATAATATAAATATAAATGTAATCTTTCCACAGCAAGAAGATATATGAATCTTCATGATTGTACAATTATCAATTCAAGTAGACCAACAAAATAAATGAATAAACAATTACAATTTCGTGATCGGCCGATCGCCACAAGTATATCAAGACAAAACAAACGAAATATGTCACCTCGAAGAACTAAATTACCAGCACTACAAGATTGGGTTTTTTTTCAAGACGAAGAGATTCAGACAACATAATTTGGTAATCCCTATGCACATAACTAATTAAATAAAATAAAATAAAATAAATAAATATATTAATATATACACTAGTTGCTCTACCTCCCCATACCTCATTATTTGTCACTTATTGATGTACAACATACAGTTTTTTTGTGATATTGTAATCTGCCCATCTCTGATCAAAATCACTTCCCATACTATACTTGCTAATAATTGTTTTTTTTTCTTATATAGATATACAACTTGCAAATTGTTTATGTGTAGTAGTCTGGCGCCTAGAATAATTTTCGAATCCTTATTATTTTATATTGAATTTTTTTTTTTTTTTTTTTTTTGTGTGCATAATAGCACTAACCGTCTCTCTAGAATTATTTTAATGCATTCGGCCCCCTCGAACTGAAAATTCTGGATCCGCTAGTATTTATTCTAAAACCATTGCTATATTTGTATGATGTATTGGGCGGACCAAGGCTAGCCAAGGGGGGCTGCCACCCCTGCAGGAAAAAAATTGATTTATTTCTATTAAATTCTTAATATTTATTTATATATTATAAGTTATTTGGGTTCTCCTAAAATTTTGAAAAAACCACTTATAATGTGTTATTTTCAATTAGAATGAGTCTAAATAATCCTCAGAAAAAAAAAATGAGTCTAAGTAACAATATATGGCTATATTATAATAACTAACATATTTTATTTATATATATATTAATTGTTAATTCTTTAAAATACTCTTAAAAAA